ATATATTGTTTAATAACCCCCTTGTTCCCCAGCCCAGTGTGTCAAAATTTGAAAAATTCCCCAGGCTTGTGGCTAAAAATACAAGACTGGTTCTCCCGGGCATGACAGTAATTAAGTTATTGTTCTTGCCATAGCTTCATCTGCAAGAGGAGGCCTACTAGTTAGCATAAGGATTAATTACATATTTGCAATGTGTTTTGAACTGCTTGAAGAAAGATACTGTTTATGTGGCAGGCATCCCTCTAGGATGGTGTTCCTATATGACTGTTGTGACAGAATGGATTTGAGTCACCAGCCCTCTGTCTGTCAGAATGCGTCAGCAACGTAATGCCAAGCTTCAGTGCTAGGCAGTATTGTGCTCTTGACTGTTGGTTGCCCTCCAATTTCTTAAAGTTCTGTTTTTTTAGAGAAGCAATAGGAAATATATTTCAATTATAGCAGAAAAGACATAGTTAAGGTCATCTTTTTTTACTTCTTAATCTTTCTGAAGTTTCAGACATCAAATCCATTCCTTTCTGAACAAATCTCCTTATATTTTTAAAATTAATTTTTTAATGCATAATACATATACATGGAGCAAAATGTAAATGGTGCAACAGGGTATGCAATAAAACATCTCCTACCCACCAGTGTCTCCCTGCCTCTGAGTTCCTCTTCCCAGTGGTAACCACTGTTTCAAGCAAACACATATTTTTGTGTGTGTCCTCTATACAATGCAACAGTACAATAACATACTACGCACATTGGACTATCTCTCTTTTTCTGAACACTGTATGTTAGAGATCATTTCACTTTCGGGTATACAAGGTTGTCTTATTCTAATAAAGTTTGCATAGTATTTGATTATATAGATAAAACATAGTTTATGTAATCAATTTCTTATTGGCAGATATTCAGCTGTTTTCAATCTTACTATCTCAAAAATGCAGCAATGACTATTCTTGTACATTTAAGAAAATGTTGAGGTCTATCTAAAGCTTAATTTCCTAGACGTGCATTTAAATATTGCCAATTGCTTGCTGTAGAGACTGTATCAATGTATATTCTCATCAATAATTCATGAAAGTACCTATTTGCCCCACATCTCCACATTTTTTTCTAGAATCTAGCCTGGTATTTTTTACTTGCGTATTTTTTAATGATGGCTTGTACTGATGAAACACAAGAACTTCTTTACTAGTTAAGTGATTAAATTCTAGAGCAAACAATCTGGGAAGACTGGGTAAGTCCTCTATTTAAAATAGCCAAGAATAAACCACCTTTGTGTTTTATGCCTAGAACACTTTATTACAATATGTAGTGGTTTTATAAAGAGAAACAGAAAAATCTGGAATGTCTGTCTAGTCTGATGGTTCTAGAAGAACGGTCTGCACATCACCTGCATCAGAATCACATGGGGGAGGGGTGCAGCTGTTGAAGAATGCAGATTTTTAGACCTACCCCATACTTAATGAAACTTGATATTTCCAAGGGGCAGGCCAAGTTCTTCTTGGTCTTCCTTATATCCACTGTCATTTGGAAACAACTGCTCTATCCTTAGTATAGACAGTTTGCAGGCACACAAGTACCTTAGTTAACTTTTTAAAAATTACAAAGTGATACACTTTTGTTGTAAAACATTTCAAAAATACAGCTAAGTAAAAAGAGACTACTAAGAATGTCAATACTGCTTCAATTGCTGATATAAATTTATCTCATTTAAACCCTCAGAACAATCCTGTGAGTTTGGTACTATTACCATCCTCTGCCCCATTTTACAGATAGAGAAACTGCAGAACAGAGAGGTTAAATAATTTTTAAAACACGATATGCTAATAAGTGATGTTGCCATGACCTAAACTTGAGTGTTTCTAAAGCCTGAAGTTGAGCACAGCCTAGAAATAAATACTGCCAGACATTGGGTATATGTTGTTCTTGTTTTGTCTTTTTCTCACACACGTGGATTTAAGAGTTCACAGCGAAACTTTCCTTAGCCCTCAACCTAAGCTAGATAACCTGTTTTCTTTCATTGTACCTTGGGCTTAAAGGATGGTTGGTACAAAAAAATGGGGGTGGTGGTGGGGAGAGATGCAGAGAAGGAACCTCAGGCAATATCTCCAAGCATTACCTGCTATTTATACAACTATCCAGCTTTCGTTTTATAACGAAATTATCTTTTTGTAAGGTTGTACCGATTTGTATTCCCATCAGCTGTGTATGAGTGGGGAGTTTTGTTGCTTTGTGTTGCTTCACTCCCCACGGATTTGTCACCCCTCTTCTCCTGGGTGACAGAGATGCAAAGGATTGCTCAAAGCCCATCTCTTC